AGTCACAGTTACGGACGCCAAACATGAGACGTGAGACCAAGAAAGACACACACACATCACCACAATACGTTCAAGATGAATACTAGATAGACAAGGTTACATACATAAGCTCGAGGACTTAATTAAGCTGCAACAGATAGATCATAGCACTTAATAACACGGGATTACACTGACTTTCTCGACTGGCCGTGCCGTGAGAAAAAACAACCGGCAGCTCAACCAGGAGATTAGCACGTACTTACTGCTGCATCACAACACTGGACGACGATGTACTAGCTAGTTTACTCATTGCTACTCGCAGCCGCCATGGCCGATGTCTAAAATGCCATCGAGCCACCGCAGCTGCAAACCCCAAATCGAAAATTACACAGAGCTATCATTGAGCTGACACTGACTGAATCTTGCTGCTACGACTACTATAGCAGTTGTAGTTGATCGTTCATGAGAGGATGGAATCCCAGTCGATCTCCCAGGACGGGTACTTGCGCAGGTGCAGGGGCGGATCCAAGGCCCGGGCTGCCTGGGCTGTAGCCCGGGGCGCGGCCCATTAAGTCTAGGAACAAGTTTCACAAAAAAACACAAAAAAAACCTTGGCAGCTCAATAGCCCCCCCCCCTGGCATGAATGCAGCCCAACTAGTATTCTAGTTAGCCCTGGCTGCACGGCAAAGCACGCAGCGCAGCGACCCTTGGCCTGATCGGCTTTTCACATTCGCGCCTCGCTCCGTGCGGCCTGTGCGATTCGATTCCCTCGGGAAGTCGCGATCGCGAGTCGGAGTCGCGACCTGGCGACGTCGCCCACCGCCTGGTCGATCTCAGACTCCGCCACTCCAGCCTCCGCGATCTTCAGTGGGCAGCGGCACGTCGTCCACTGTCCACTCGGTCATCCTGCAGTCCTGCTCGGCTGTCCCTGCAGGAAGCACGCAGGTGAGAAGAGATCCAATATTCTCAATTCCCATCCCTAATTATTTCAAGTCTGTACTGTAGTCTGTAGAGTCAGGTGTCTAGAGGATGTTAATCGATAATTATTATTTCTTAATTCATATCCAATGTGTTTTAGAATGGAAAGATATTATGCTAAGAAAGATGCATCAAATAGTAATACAGGAAATAAAGAGACAGAGAGTCGGCTTGAACAGAAAAGACCGAGGATTGAACTTGATTTGAGAGATATAGTTGATGATCCAGGCAATAGAAAGCCAATTGATGAGTTTCATCATGACATTAGGGATGAGGCTAGAAGAGCATATCTACAGAAAGGTCCATATAGGCCAACTGATCATAAGTTTAAGTTACATACATTGATTTACACCCTATATTACATACATCTACATATAAATAAGATGCTATGCAGTGTTTTAGCAAAAGATTGTTCAGTGTAACACCGAGGGTGTTACAATAACAAAGGTACGTCCTGCCAGTATTTAAGTAATTTAAGCTTCATAGGATATACAATAGACATTAGATTTTGATCTTTTTCACTTGCATGCAAATGTGAAGCAATATCGAGAAGATGGTGCAGAATAAGTGGACTAGTTGGATAATAAACATCAGAAAGAACAACAGTGCTTTCATAAAATATTTACAGGAACTCTAATATCTTCTCAGCTACATGCCAATGCCTTGCAGACAACAATTGTGACCCATAATTGGCATTAATGAACACAAAAAAACATCCTTATATGGAACCAAGTGTTTAAGCATAAGGTATGTAACATTCCATCTAACATCCATATCTAAGCCAAATTTTCTAGGTCTAACACCCTGAGCAGTATAGTAGTTCTTAAACATAGCAATTCTTTGATTAGAGGAATTTAAGAAGTTAATAGCAGATCTTAAATCTTCTAAGTAAGGTTTGAACCGCTTTAAACTAGATTTTACAATCAGATTAATGATATGACAAGCACAATGTTGATGCACAAGGCTATAGTTAACCTTAGAAGGATCTACAGGCTCAGGTGAAGGATTAGCATCCAAATAACCAGTAAACAGAGGTGTCAAAGTACTCATAGCCCTAGCATTAGAAGAAGCATTGTCTAAAGTTATAAAGAAAACCTTATCAATCAGACCATACTCCTCAATCACACAAGCAATTTTTTCAGTAATATTTTCACCGATATGTTTCACCTCAATCAACCTAAAACCAATAACTTTTTTCTGTAACTCCCAATCAGTACTGACATAATGAGCAATAACAGTAATGAAGTCTTCCTTAGCATTACCAGACCAAATGTCTGAAGTCAGTGCAACAGAGGAAACAACAGACAACACATGATTTTTAAGCATATTACGACATTCAGTAAACAGCTTACTAAGATCTCTGGTGGTAGTCTGTCTAGATACCTTAACAAACCTAGGGTTATGAGCACGAACAATGTACTCCTCCCAGGCCTCTGTCTCACCGATACCTAATGGCAGATCAAGCCTAGCAATCAAGCGACACAACTTAGATCTAGCAACATCGGGTTTATAGTCCCAGTTATGCATAGAACCATCAGGATTGTAAGCAAGCCTAGACTGAACCCTAGCATGTTAATCAGTTTTTTGCTTACAAGATTTCTGGTGCCTCTTCAAGTGACCAGTGCCAGCACTAGATCTAGTAGACAAAGTACTCTTACACATTTTACAGGTAGCTTTAGTGCAAATCTTAACTCCATTCACAGTCTCATAGATCTCATCAAAATCAGCCCACACAGCATATTTACACTTACCAACAGAGGTACCAGTACCAGCAACAGATGGAGTAGAGCCTGGTGGAGCCGACCGTGGTCCCAGTCGCCGTCACCCCTTCATCACCGCCGCCGTCTAGATCGATCGGAGCATAGCCGTCTCCGAGATCGATATCGAACAACGCAGCAGCGTCGTCACGGGTGTCGTCGTCGTTCTCGCCCTCAGGGGCCAGGCCTGGCGAAAGGACGCCATCATCTTCAGCCATGGCCTCTCTAGTCCCGTTCCTCAACGGTGCGAGTGGCCGCCTTGCTAGCTCTATGCCACAGCTAGAGGACGAAGCATCGGCTACCGACCTACGCAAAAGAGATGAAGAAGGAAGAGGAACAGACAGAATCAGAAACAGTCAGACTGATCAAGATAGAAGAAGAGGGTTAGGGTTAGGGTTAGGGTTAGGGTTAGGGTTGGGGTTAGGGTTTACCTACGCAACCGGAGCCCGTTGTCGGAGAAGACGATGGCCCCCAAGAGAAGATGACACACCGTTAGCAAGGACGACGAGTGGCTGCGGAGGGAAGACAGTAACAAGAACTCACATAATCACCAAGATCTATATGGGTCGAGGGGAGAGAGGGAGAGGGAGACGGGAGAGAGGGAGGGTATCAGGGAGGAGGAGAAGGGAGCAGCTCGACGGCGGCAGGCGGATCGAATCGAGGTCACCGGAGTCGGGGGAGGTCACCAGAGACGGCGAGGCAAGAGTGAGAGCGACTCGAGAGGGCGGAGCGACGCGGGTGGGTGCCTAGGTGGGGAATGAGATGAGTAGATGACCGAATGATTTAGGGTTTGATGAGGAAGGGGAGAGGGAGCCATCGCCGCTTATATACGAAGGGGGAGGCGGAGAGCAGCTGGGCCGTCGCCTTGGGCCGTGGGGGAGAGGGGGTGGTGGGCCGCTGTCGGGCCGACCCTAAAAAGTCGGGTTGTGCTGCAGCTAGCCCACAGGCTGGGTAGTGCCAGCCACACGCTGTTATGCCAGTCGGGCCGGCCCAGCCGAGCCAAGACGTCACCGGGCCGGGCCGTGCTCGTGTCGGGCTAAAAAAGCGGGCTTCGTGTCGTGCCATCGTGCATCGGGCTATATGGACATTTATAGTTACGTATGCTTGGGAGACTGAAGGTGGTGCATGCTAAAAAAGAAGAGAACGGGAAATAAATGTGAGATATGATGAAAGGAAAAAGTTTCTTTGCAAACCACGAGTAGTGATAGTTTGCATTGTGTGAATAGTACTTTCAATATTTCTTAGTTTATGTGGATCACTTTATTTATATTGGAACCACCGGTAGTGTTAGCCTCCATTGGTGATGGCCTTAGGCCAACTTGCCAGCCAAATTTCACACAAAAGAAGTTCGTACAATCAACTATTCTTGGGTTCTTTTGCGCAGCAATTGCTGGAGGGAATGAGAACAAAGGGACAGAGATAGGCGCCCCCTTCCCTGTCTCAACTCATAGAGAGGGCGTTGGTTGGGTACAATGGTGTCTGGTGGCTCCTGGCGTCCACACTCCACACCCTTCTCTCTAATACTTCACCTCTGTCAGTGCTTGACAGTTTACACTCCGATCCGCATGAAGTCCCGTGAAAGCATGAGGCTAACCTTTCCATGTGGGCTTGCACCTTGCAGTACACATGCATAATTGCAAGCAACATCAAATTCCTTCGCTTGTTTCCAACAGGCAACTGCCAGCATGGTCTCTGCTTTACAGCTACAGCAGAAAACAAAATCAGGAGCCAAAAGCGACAGCGCTTTGCTGAAAAGTCAGACTAAAGAGTGATGTTGGTTAATTTATTGTAAGAAAAAAATACCATAGCTAATAAATGATAAGTTCAAGCGAACGGGGCTGTGACAAGTCACAGTTACGGACGCCAAACATGAGACGTGAGACCAAGAAAGACACACACACATCACCACAATACGTTCAAGATGAATACTAGATAGACAAGGTTACATACATAAGCTCGAGGACTTAATTAAGCTGCAACAGATAGATCATAGCACTTAATAACACGGGATTACACTGACTTTCTCGACTGGCCGTGCCGTGAGAAAAAACAACCGGCAGCTCAACCAGGAGATTAGCACGTACTTACTTCTGCATCACAACACTGGACGACGATGTACTAGCTAGTTTACTCATTGCTACTCGCAGCCGCCATGGCCGATGTCTAAAATGCCATCGAGCCACCGCAGCTGCAAACCCCAAATCGAAAATTACACAGAGCTATCATTGAGCTGACACTGACTGAATCTTGCTGCTACGACTACTATAGCAGTTGTAGTTGATCGTTCATGAGAGGATGGAATCCCAGTCGATCTCCCAGGACGGGTACTTGCACAGGTGGAAGGTCTCCGTCTCGTCCCACGGCGCCTCGGTGAAGTCCAGCTTCGCCATCTCCGGCACGGGCGGCGCCAGCGTCGGGGAAGGAGGGGAGCCGGCGGAGCCCGACTCCTCCTCCCCCTCCCCCTCCGTCGACGCCGAGCACTTGGGGGAGTCCGGCGGGGACGCGGCCGACTCGTCGCCGGAGGAGCCGTTCTTGGACGACCCCGCCAGGGACTGGCAGATGGCGGTGAGCTTGGCGTCCACGGAGGCGTGGAGCGGGCCGGCGAGGTGCGCGCCGTCGCGGCGGAGGGCCGGGAAGTTGAGGCGCGCCATGTCGCCGCGGAGGCGGAAGGCGGCCTTGTCGTAGGCGAGCGCCGCGTCCTCGGCGGTGTCGAAGGTGCCGAGCCACAGCCGCGTGCGGTTCTTGGGGAGGCGGATCTCCGCCACCCACTTGCCCCAGTGGCGCTGGCGCACGCCGCGGTACAGCTTCGACTGCGCCGGCGCCAGCGGCGGCGACCCGGACTGCTTCATCGGCTGCGCCCGCGGGCCCAGGAACGCCGCGTGCAGGCCCCTCTGCTGCTGCTGCTGCTGCTGGAACATGAACTGGGCCTGGATCTGCTGGATCTGGGCCGGGCCGAGCTGGTTCAGGCCCATCGGCCCAGCCATGCCCGACGCCGCCGTAGCCGCGTAAGGCGACGAGTAGAGTGGCGGAAGCTGTGAGAAAGGCGAGGAGGAGGAGGCGGCGGGGGTGGGAAGAGGCGAGGTGCCGAAGGTGGCGTAAGAGGGTGTAGGCATGTAAGAATCTTGGGCCATGGATGAAGAGGACGAGTAGCGATGATAGGGGGAAGAAGCACTCGTTATAAAAGGCTCGAGTGCTTTCGCGAGCTCCTCATCCGAGGGGGGCGAGGAGGCGATCTGGTGTGCGCTGGTATTGTAGTACTTATACATGTCGATGGCTGCGGCCATTAGGACTACTAGAAGCAGAAAGCTTGGATGGAGCTAGAAGAAGAGGCTGGGGAGAACGAAAGAGGGGAAGGAATAAAAGGAGCTTTTTTGTTATGCAAAATCAAAGTAGGAAAAAGTTTGGAAATCAACCCTGTTCCTCAATAAAAGTAGAGAAACGAGGTGGGTGTTTATGCAAAGAAAAAGGGGTGGTGAGCTGAGAATGGTATTGCAAAACAACCCTTTCGAAGGCCAAACAAAAGGCGGCAAGAATCCAGAAGAGAAAAAAGGTTCTCTGGATCTCTGTTCCTCCTAGGAGAGGTGTGATGAAGGTGAGAAAAAATCCTAACCCAAGAACACGCTTCTTTTGAGGATTCTAATAAACCCAAAAGAAGAGCCTCTTGAACCGGACCTTTCTTGTGCTGTGCGTCCCTGCTGCTAAAAGAATCAGAGAGTTCAGAGAACAAACCTGCGTTGCTGCGTCGTGGATGATTTTTTTGCTCGGATCGCTCAAACCTCACCGTGGAGCTGGATGGGACTGGGATGTGGCGTGGTGTTCTTGTGCGGGTGGGGTGGGGTTGAAGCGTCTCTCTGGGGAAGAAAGGTCTCTCGGCCAGGCCTTTATATAGTGGCAGGCTTGAGGCCGTGCAGGCGAAGCCAAGCGGGCATCTCTTCCTCGCTGCTCTCTGCGATTGCTTCTCCTCGGTGGATTAGCACAAAATGATTCGATTAATCAACTGAATAATGCACCGTGAATGAAAAAATAATTAAATGCAATTTGGTAGCAGGCTTTCGTCCATGGCGTCATCCCACGCGAGGTACCACGCGCGAATGCCAAGTCGCAGCCAGTCCTGGTCTGCCACGTGCGCACCTGGTCTCGTCTGATTGGGAGCGTGGTGGGCTGGATTGACTTGCCAATGGAATTTGCCTTTACGATTGCACCAAGAGCTAAATACCTAATAAGCCCGTGTTTAGTTCAAAAAAAGTTTTCAAAAAAATGCTACAGTAGCTATCACATCGAATCTTACGATACGTGTATGGAGCATTAAATATAGACGAAAAAAAAACTAATTGCACAGTTTAGTTGGAAATCGCGAGACAAACGTTTTGAGCCTAATTAGTCCATGATTGAACACTAATTGTCAAATAAAAATGAAAGTGCTACAATAGCCAAATTCTAACTTTTCAACCAACTAAACACGGGCTAACAATTTTTAAATTCCTTAGCTAGGGAGGCATGAGCTGATTGTAAGATTATAAGGACCCCTAGTGCGCCCGTCTTATGGCGCATCGTTGTAAAAAAAACTTATTTTCGATCTTAATACAAAGATGCGTAGATTTTTTGAGTATTAAAAAAAAAAAAAAATTCCGGAATTTTTCCCTCTACTTCACATCTTTAGTAGGGTTACTAAAAGAGGAATCCTAAATAAATCGGTAGCAAGCAAGGATGTTCTATTGAATAGTTTTGCTTAAAAAAAGGTCATGTAGATTTTGTATAAGTTAATTTTTTTTGCCCTAGCAATGTCTACAAAAATATACTGAAGTAATATATTATTTATGTTTTTTCATAACAAATCGATTAATTTCAGTCATGTGTGGTCAATCTATGACAAAACTTTTAGATGTTAACGGGCAAAATTTAAAAGTATTTGAGCTATGACAATTAAGCTTGGAAAAATTATATTTACGAACTTATATCTATAACCATCTTGATTTTTTTTATTGTTGCCATGCAAAATTGGTTCGTAAGTGTGGCGACATTTCGATTTGACAAATTTATGGCACTCTTATAAGCTAGGAATTAGGGACCATATTTTTACATTTCAGCTCGCTTTGCATTTAGGACGACAATAAATAAACAGAACAAGAAATGTATTTTGACAACTTTTGATTGCAGTACATATAACCTATTCTCGCGTTGTGTGATAAAGTCGATGTTGCTTTCATACGGAATGCTGGTGTATGAAACTGTGAATTCGTGTAGCAGAAACAAAATTGAGTTTTGAACGTTCTTGATCCAGGAGCTATAGTGATGAGGTTGTGGGTATCCATTGATTTGGACCTCAAAAAGGACAAGTTTGAATCGTACCTCCTCAAATATATCGCCAATTGTAGGTCCTGCTACGGGCAAGTGGGCAACTGTACAATTTGATGAGTTTCTTAGTGGCTAATCATGGTTCCAGAAGTCTTCATAGCCACGTGATAGGTTGTTCTTGTTTCGTCAAAACTATTTGTGAAAAAAAACATGAGAAACGAAAATCAATCAATTCCCGGAGAGCAACAGGACAAGAAAATAAGGCGGGATCAAGGAAAATTTCAAACTGTGTTGGTTCCAATCGATTTCCAAGTAGACCAAGGGCCGAGTCATCGCTACCGTATGGTTTTCGATGTTCCGCCATTAATCCCCCATGATAAAGTCATGCTGATGGTGATGTTGGAGCCGTTTCACTGAGAATAAAATCATGTTTGTATCAGCTAAAACATTAGTTGTTTTCAATCAGCTTATTACTCAGTTAATAAAAGAACAATAGCCCAAACTAACACATTAGCTGTTTTCAACCAGCTAATTGCAACTAATAGGTGCGCAAATTTTCAACCTGTAAGTTGAATGATCTAAACGGCCCCTGATAGTCGCTTTTTTATTAGCAAGCTTGACCTTAGATGCAACATATTGTAGGATGCTGCAAATTGTATACTACAAGCATCAAAGGGGAGGAAAATGCTTTACTTAAACCGGGTCAAACAGGTAATGAAGGATGCAAATGCGTGTTGGGCACATTAATGCGCCATTGGTAAGGCGATTGCAACCTCCTGCCGGACAAGCCATTGCATTGCAGCTCGGGACGTTTTCGAGTTGATTTTTGGGACCCTTGATTTTTTGATGGCGGAGAACTGCTCCTGCCCGATGCGTGCTGCAATCTACCGACAAAAACTCGCGACCAGAAGAAACTCCAGAAGACCAGAACCAACGGCTCATAAAATTTTGCCCCCTGTAGAAGGGCAACACGTTCACGATCGCACAAAACCGCTGCGATTCTGGTCCAGGCAAGCGAACAAAAATATCTGACGAACCGCATCCCATCGAGCCGGGCGAGCGACCCCCGCGCGAGCACGGCCACGAGATGTTGACACGGCTCGCGCGCGGATGAGAATGCGATGAGATGCGGATGCGCCCGGTGGAGCCGGCGGCCCCGCGACGCCGTGGCCGCGGCGGATCCATGTGGGCTCCGCCGTCGCGAAAGGTGAAACGCGACGCGCCCCCCTAGCTCGTTTCGGGTGGGGCGGTCAGTGGCGTGGGCCGAAAGCGGACGGGCAAATCGCCCGCGCGCCGCGCGCGTAGTTGCGGTTGCGGTTGCGGGTGCGGGTGCGGGTGCGTCCACGCCTTGGCGGCCGTGCGTGCGCCGACGGGGAATCGCAGCGTTTTCGGCAAACGAACCGAAGCATTTCGGCCTGGCGTTGGAGTGCCCGGCTCGAGTCGCACAGGTTACACCAGCCGCTGGCGTGGCCTCCTGCCTGCCCGAAACAAGAACCAAGGAAAACGATGCGGTCGTTTCACCGCTTTGTGTTTGTTCGTAACGGAAGATTTTGGTCGCGCGCTTGTGCTGGTGGCTGGTGCCTCTCGGCTGATTTTTTCGAAAAAAAAAATTCTTCCTTGTGTGTGAGAAGCGTCGAAACATGGTCGTTTCTCTTTATCTAGAACTCGGTGAATTTTGTGGTCGCAGTTACGGGGGAGGGCAGGTATCGGTTGATGGGAAAAAGTGTGGTAGTGTATGAGTATCCAGTACGAGATGGATTATTGACCACTGATTCGAAGGCTGTCATGTATGTATGTCGTTCGTGTAGCTAGAATCCAGGTTTGGCCTAGAATCTGACGTGACATATTTGTACGTTGCAGTTGAGCGTGTCCAGGATGAGGATCGATCATGAGCCACCGGAAGCATCTAGTAGTACATTATATAAGTAACATCAACAGACAACAGATGCTAACGCTCGCCGCTACCAAGCTCAGTATTCAAAGATATCCCTTGGTTTAATCTATGAGCGCTGCTGATCAAAGACTCAATAGGATAGGCACCACGCAGCTTCAACGACGCCAGGTTAATTAACCTCCATCAGACGCCCCCGTTAGATATTATGCTTGTTAATTCCGGATGAGCTAATCGAGCTCTGCAATTTAGAAAATGGGTGGCCACCGGAGCTCCCAGCCTGGCAGTCGCCGTTGGCTCAGCTGGTAGCGCATCTAACTTACTGTGCTGTAATGGTGACATGATCAACTGGTTTTGAGACGCCAGCAAAACACTGGCAGCCTGCGACAAGAGTACAATACCATCGAACAGTTGGACGTCGCATCAGTGATCCGACGGCGATTTGGGCGGAGGTGGTGGGCGGCAGGTGAGGCGAGGCGCGGACGAAGGAGTGGACGAGAGGTGATACGATACGAGTGTGCTGTGCCTGCCTGCTTGTGTTTGGTGTGGATTCCAAGCCGGCTCCGCGTGCCGCGCCCAATCATTCGGCTCACAGCGGGTTCCCATGATAATTCCCAGCTTTTCTCCTCCACGCGCCGCAGCGCCCGACCTCTTCTTCGCCGTATCGGCAGGCACCAGGCAGCCTATCAGGGTATCAGCTTTTACACACGCACAACTTCTGTCGGCTATCGTTCGATCGCTTCGCTTACACAACATTGGCGCGTGTTTTGTGCTGTCTTTGACCATGTCCTGCAACTGATGGAGGCCTGGACGCTGGAGCTGGAGGGAGGAGCGCCCTATCATGAAGAGAAGATGAAGAAGGAACGTACTCCCGTATGTTTTTGGTTGCTCGTGCTTGAAGTTCAGGGCACTTGAAAAGCTCTTCAGGAGTTGCATATGCTTTGCACGAATGAAATTGCAAAGCAGTCCACCTGGATCGTTCGACGGAGTAGAGTTTCAGAGAAAAACGATGCTATAGACTACTATGAAGCAATGATATTCCTTTTTTTTTCTTTGTAGAATGTAGTAGTATGAAGCAATGATATTCGCAAAGGCATA